AGTGTCCTGTTCGCGCGCGCTCACTTCTCCACATGGCCTTGAAGTAGGGGCAGTTGCGACCCCTACTGGCGGCTGCCTTTTGACTGCTGGGCAGCCCAACGGGCCTGTCTATACTTTGGACAAAATTTGATAACGTGGGCCGGGTCACCACAGAATACGCACTGACCCATGTTCACGCGTTCCTGCCATAATTGTCGGTCCAAACCCAAGTCTTCCCAGGGCCTGCCCTGTGGCAAGCCTGGGTGCCAACCTCCTTGAGGTGCCCTTCCACCTCTTCGTTGTGGGGACCGAATACCTTGGCGATTTGACGGGGGACCTTGACCCCTACCTCCCGCTTGGCGGTTTCCCTGTCCGCCAACCCCCTGTGCGCCCGGTCGTCGGCCTCCCATGGCCTGGCCCCTTTGGCCCTGGCCTCCTCCTCCTCCTTGCGGCCTCCCTCCAGCCGCGACAGCAGTGTAAGACCTCCCCTACCCACACTACTGCCATCATCTTCAAGGCCCCACTCAATCAGGTCATATGGGACCTCATCGGTACCACCTGCTTCTAATGTCAGGATCATGTGATCCTTGGCCTTTACTTGGCCTGAGATGGTACAATTCTTCCACTTCTTCCCCTTCTCTAAGTCCTTATGCCAGAAAGTGGTCACTGGCATAGACTTCGACTCATACAGGACGACTTCCCTACTCAATGCATCGTAAGTCATGCCGGCCTGCTGAGATTTGTCAAAGAAATGTCCACGTAGGGCCTCTGGAATGGCACGATAAAACAACTGGACCAGCTGGGGTTCAGTGATCCCGTGGTCCGGGACGGCTACCAAGTCGTCCATAGTACCCTTGAGTGCCTTAGCACTCCTCCACTGCCGGGAGTGGATCGTTTGGAGCTTATCAGAGGCTCTAATGCCTCGCGTTGGGTCAGCGAACCGCTCCTTGAGGAGCTTGAGGAATTGGGAAAGAGGAGTGACTTTGGAATACGCAACCAGGTTGTTTTCACAACCGGCTGTACGCGCGAGAGACCTGGCGAAGCTAGCCGCTTCGTCCTTCAAGGCCTGGAAGGACACGAGGACTTGCTCCTCCATCAGGATATGTTGTAAATAAATGTAACTATTGACACTGGCCTCCCAGTTGTCAAAGTTCTCGTCCTTCTTTCCCCCGTACGTGTCTAGGAATTTAAGTTTCACTGGGTCCTCACGGGGTATGGCCTCTCCTTCTACAGCGGCTGCAGCTTTGGCACCCTGAATGGCGCCCTCACAAAACTTCCCTACGTTGTCTCTCAATTGCTTGACTTCACCCCCAATATGGGTGACGATTTCGCGAACAAAATCCTTGAACCCGGACCGCATAGTACTTAACGCTACATCCTGGCTCCAGCTTGCCTGGCGCTCCTCCATCCAGGCCTTGCTCAACACCTCTAGATAGCCCAGTACTTTGTCCCACTTGGCCTTATCATCTGGTTGGGCCAGCACCTCCACTCTACACTCCTGCACCTTTGCCACTGCCGCGGTCATCTTATTCACTTCCTCTCTCCTCCTCTTCTTCTCCCTCTTCATTCTCAACTTCCATGCTAACTTTTGCTCGTCTTCCCTCTCTCTTCGTTCCATTGGGTCTGTCATGGCCGCTAGCTCAACGGCCAGCGCAGCCTTCTCATCCTTAGTCACATAGGACTCTGCCTCCTCGTCTTCCCCCAACGATAAATTAGCGACCCACTCGCTGATCTTTTTCTCCAGCTCAGTATCTGTCTCCCACTTCAGCGTGCCACCACTACTTCCCCACTCTCAATTCTCATCCTCTCTTTCTCTTCTTCTGCTGTCGCTTCTGCTTCAGCAACCTTCCTTCTTTCTTCCTCCTCCTGTTGTACCCTCTTCATCTCCTCCTCCGATCTCTTCATCTTCGCCGCCTGCTCGTCTGCGATAGCCTTTAGCTTGGCTTGCTTTTCACGCTCTTTCCTCTCCTTATTCTCTCTGGCTAGTCTCCTTCCCACTACGAGTCTCAACCATGGTGATAAGTGTACAACCGGGTTAGTGGTTCCAAACCTCACCACGTAGACGTCAACCCCTGACTGACAGACCTACTGACTCGATCTAAGACTCACAGAATCCTGACAGGGATCCTGTCAACTATGGTCTCTAGCCTAGACCTACACTATGGCTGTCACTATTGAACCAGTGGCTGATCAGGAGGCATTTAAGG